GCGCGCCCGGCCCCCACCCGGCCCCGCGCCGCCCGGCCCCGGCAGCGCTCTAGATTTAACGAGCCGCACGACGCGGGCGGGGGCAGCATGCCTAGCGCCGGTGCCCAGCCGGCTTCTGAGCCCTCACAGATGGTGGAGACGGACGTGGAAGCGAAGTCCGGGAGAAACACTGGCCGGCCGCGTTTCTCCCGCGGCCGCGATTAGCGGTGGGGACGGCCCTGGGCGGGTGGCGGAGCCGGAGCTGCGGGAATGCAGCGAGCCGGGCCCGCGCCCCCGTGCTAAACTCGGATAGAGCCACATAATCCGGGAGCCCGGGATGTGCCCCCCTGGGTGCTAGCCACACTTTCCCAAAGGTTACTAAATGGAGAATTCCGCAGTGGAGTTGGACACGGAAGACCGTGCAGTGCAGAGAGACCGGAGGGAAAGCCTCCCCGGCTTGCCTCAGGGCGTTTGGGGAAAGGGGCGGGAGGGGGTTAACGAAGCTCCCAGGACCCCGTGATTCATCTCCAACAACTTTTTTAAATGCCTCGAGCGCAGGGAGCAGACGTCGCTTCCCCGCCCTCCTCCCCAGGCCCCGAAGCACGGAAGGATGTCCCAGGCCAGCCCCGGCGGCGGGGTCGGGGGTTCCGGAGGCTTCGGCTCCTCCACGGTCCCCCCACCGCCCCAACCCCCGTGCCCAGCCAGCCGCTCGGCGACCGGGAACATTGATGAGAGAACCCCTCGCGGGCCGCAACGCTGGACTCGTAATCGCCTTCACCCAGGAGGGGGTCGTAAGGGTGGGGCAGAAGTGCCCAGGCAGCACCGAGGTGTGCGGTGGGGGAGGCTGCGGATGCAGGGCGGGGGCGAGTCCCTCTCACTCTCCCCATCTCTAAAAGCCTCTCTGGATCCCAAAGTTTCTGCCGCCCAAAGGGGCCAAGAGAACCCTAGACGCCGCAGGGTGCGGGCAATCCAGCCTCTCTCCCTCTCGCCCTCCACCCTACCCCCCCATCCGGCGCGCTCCAGGGGGTCTTCACACCCCCCCAACCCGGTGCAAATCCCTCCCCCACCCCAGTAGAGCTGGGACAACCGTGCCCTGTGCTCGCTTCCAGCCCCGGCCCGATGGACCCCAGCCCGGGGCGAGCCACCCACCCATATTTACAAACTAGGGGTCGGAGTCGCAGGGAGGTCCTCCCGAGCAGTGAGAAGGTGGAACGGTGCCCCGGGCGCGTCCCGGCGCGCTGGGTGCGGACAACCCACATGCACCCTCAGCCCTGGGGGCGGGCGCCCAGCCTACATACATGAGCGCGGGGCGCGGGCCGGACGCCGGGCTCGCGGCGGGCTCGGGGGCAGCAGCGGCGGGCG